AGAATGATGCATCGAGTCTTCTTTGATTAAAGAGATAGTTGAAGGCGGAATGCTTATAGAATCCAAGAAAACTTCGACTACAAAACGTCATTATGCTCACGGCTGTTTCAAAGTGGACATACGCTTCTTGTTATTTTTTGAAAATAACTTAAAGGGTGTTACTAAAACTTTCATAACTTTTGAAATATTAAAGATAAATACGTTCTGTAAAAAGAATACGAACACCGACTAAATGTAATTCAATATAATAACCCAAGACTGCTCTGATTTTTAAATAAACGCGCAAAATGACGAACTTGGCAGAATTTCAAAATTTTAATGGTACTTTCTAGAAAAATTATTCAGAAAAATTATATTTCTATTGACTAATACGTAATGTAAACATAGCTAGACTAATTATAAAACATATTAACATTATTTACACCGAGTGAGAACTGATACAGCCACTACAATAGGCGAAATAAAAAATCGCATAACACTTTTTTTTTTTTTTACGTAAAGTATTTAACTTCACGTGACTGCTTTAAAATATAAACAAAAATTTACGCATTAAACTAGAGAAATTTGTTTCTAAACCAGTCAAGTTTGAAAATATATGTCATAACATAGCTAGAGGTACATATTATAATTTTTTGATTTTTATAAGTAGAAAGGGTTGAAATTTCAATAATTTGGTGCAGAGTTCAAAAATAATACGATTTGCATTTTAAATTAATAAAATTAAAAATATAAATGCATTGAAAACTAATTTTTTTTTTAATAAATTACAAACTCTGCACCAAAAATCAGTTAGAATAGACATTTATTGATAAGTATTCCAAATTTCAATCCTCAAGCATGTAGCTATGTTATGAAATCTTAGGCCCAAAGACAGGTTTTTTGTAAAAATCGCAAAAAGCAGAAAAGTGATTCAAATCAATAGCAATATTTTACCAATATTTACTTTTATTCCGTTTGATGTAAATATTTATATAACAGTAAAAGATATTTTTTTATATATTTTTTATTTGAAGATAAACGCGATTACAGAAAAAAAAATGCTAATATTTTAAAGTTTGTGCATTTTTTATACTTTATATGCCGAAAAATACTTTTTACGCGGAAATTGTTTTTGCTAAACTCGTGACGTAATGCCCTATTTTACATTGAGTGAAACAGCCGTGTGCCTTTTATTTTGGTTTTTATGAACGGAAAAGATACTGTTTAAATTTATATATTCTGATCCGCAACTCGTGTAAGGTGCAATTTGTAGATGAGCAATGGTCTAAAAATTAGTTTATAAAATTGTTTTTTATTTAAAATTATCCATTGTATCTTCTTAATTGAAAAAAAAACATTCTCTTAACAACTGAGATTATTTTTGTTTATGTGGATTTATCCCCTATAAAGATGGCGTCGAAATCTCATATGCTTAAACCACCCCTTATGAAAGTCCGTAATATTGTTTTTTTACGCTTTTTTATGGTAAAACAGGAACAAGTGGTTTAAACGTAGCCAACATTCTTGAAAACGTAACCAACATTCTTGAAACTTTAAAAGAATTTGGTTTATTTGTATTGGTTACAATATTTGATTTGAATATGTGATACTGTATCACATATTCAAAATATACTAATAAATATATAAAATATATTATTTTAAATATATAAATTATTTTAAATATATAAAATATGATTATTTTCAAGTTTCTATTACATTGCCTCTTCATAATCATTTTCTCAATGAACTAGAAAATAGGTTTGATATTGAGAGCTTAATTGTTTATAATGGTCTTTGTGCTATTCCTGCTAGTTTAATAAAGTAAATTTTTAGATATTGTCAATGGAAAGAAAAGTTCCTGATATTTTTGAAGTTTTGTAAATCTGATCTTCCTCATTTCTCATCAATTAATGCTGAGTTAGAGTTATGGGTGAAAATTTTGGAATGGAAAGACAGAATTACCATCTACTATTTCAGATACATTAAAGTTTATGGATATGAGAGGTTTCCGAAACATTTTAGAGGCTTTTTACTTACTTGCTACTTTACTAATCACAACTTTTGAGTGTGAAAGGTCAATATTTACTCTTAGGAGAATAAAAACTTGCACTAGGAGTACTAAGTCAGAAAATAGATTGAATAAGAAAATAGAGAAAATAGATTGAATGGACTTGCTTGAATATCTATTCATCAAGAAATAGTTCTTGATATTAACAGAGTTATTGAAATATTTGAAATATTTGAAATATTTGCATCCAAAGAAAACTAGAGTTTTTAATACAAATTTTGAAGTTTTTTGATTAAAAAATTTAACTATTGTTTTAAAAGTATCTCTTAAATGTAAATAATTTTTCAATAGCAAAATATTTCTACTCATTGTTTTAAACACGTAAAATCATTTTTTGAAATTTTTGTGAAAATCATTTTTTATTAGCAAGTTATTACTATTCATTACTTTACATAAACAGTGAAACTAATGCTTCATTTGCTATTTCTATTAATTCCAAATGTTGAAAGCATTTTCAGGTGATTTAGGTTGTTATTTTTTTAGTTGTTATTTGTTGATTTGTATTTTGTCTTGTTTAATTATTTGTTAAAATTTATTAAAAAAAATAAAAATAAAAAAAATTATAAAATATTTTCAAAAAATTTGTGCATAACTGCCTATCAAAAAAAAAAAAAAGAATCCAGAAATGGAGGGCTAACCTTAGGCAACACGAAGTGATGTGCGCCAACATGAAGGTAAGCTTATGGCTTACCTTCACGTTGGTGCACATCGTAAGTTAGACAAGTATTATGTCTAATTTATGAACTAAATAGCCAAGGCAATATTTTATATAACTTTATTATCAAATGGATAACTAAAAAAATACAAAATAACCTTTGCCAAGATTGACTCGAGTAAGATTAAAATATATTATTTTTGTAAGTCTATTTATGTAGTATGAATGATCTCTAAGGCCTGTCATGTTATATGTGCCTTACATAAAAAATCGTCAGAGTATATCGGCCTTACATAAAAAAATCTTCGTTACATAAAAAATATCGGCCTTACATAAAAAATCGTCGGAGACAAAACATCACACATTTTTCGTCTCAAATGAATCAAAAGTTTTTAGCCACATTCTTGAAAATTATTATACTTATTGTAATAATGGCGCTGTTTTGGCAAATTTTGACATTTTAAAATCGGCTAATGTAAAAGATTGAAGACTTTTTTTGTTGTTTATGGCACTTGACCTCCCCCCCCCCCCCCCTACACACACACACACACACACACCTCCCTAACACTCATTTAAAAAGAATCCGCTCTTCGCGCCGTCCGCGAACCCAGACTTGGCCACACAGTTACAAATTCCAGGATTCGCGCGTGCTTTATAGTTCAAAAACTTTACTATTTTTTATTTTTTAGCCTAATTTTTTTCTTCCAACTTGATGTGCTCTTTCGATTTTTATGTTTTCATTTATTCCTAACTTTGTTTTAACAAAGTTTTTTCTTTTTTTTTTAACTTGTTATTTAGGTGCCCCAAAAAGTCTTATCGGTCTTGTCACAGAGCACCGCGGAAGTGCTTTTAACCAGGAAGTTTACGCCTCCTTCCTTACTAGGGTGGATCGATTTTCATAGCAAAAAAAAAAAGTTTAAAAATCAATATTCCTGAGACACGAATCGATGTCTGTTAATTTTAAGATGAAAGTAAAAAAATATTTTTTGATTTTGATGAGATCTTGAGGTTCCTCTTTGGATTCTAAATCCTTGACGGATCCTAATACTTTTGAATTTTTTTCTTTCTAAACTATATCAACCTTGGACTCAAAAAAAGCAGAAAAAAATGCTTGTTTTATTAATTATATTTTTATTAAAATAAAATTTTTAGTGAAAAAAACATTTGCAAAAATATACCTTAAAACCGGGGGGTTTTTAATGTAAAAAAAAAAAAAACTCTTTAGTTTTAAATTAAAACAAAATATTCAAAACAAGCGTATTGCTCTGCTTCTTTTGAGTACCAGGTTGATATAGTTTAGAAGAAAAAAAATTTTAACAATATTAGGATCCGTCATAAATTTAGAATCCAAAGAGGAACCTCTAGAACTCATTTAAAATAAAAAAAAAAAGTAAGGTTTTTTTTTCACTAAAAGACATCGATTCGCAGCTCAGGCAAATCAAATTTCAAAAAATTTTAAAGTCGATCCACTCTATTCCTTACCGTCACGCGAAAATGTCCAAAGCTCGTTTCGAACCTGAATCTCCTGCTTATAAAGCAAGCGCTCTAACCACTGTGCCACGGCCGCAAAGTTCTTCACTTTACTCTCCATGTTTTCGCAATTTTCGTTTTCCTCGAATCCATTAATTCGGCGACTTTTATCTTCTAAATCTGCAAGTTTGTCAATAATAACATTTTTGTTTTCAATCTTTCACTTTTATGATGATTTTCGATCGTTTTTGAAGTTAATATTTTTCTAGAGACCATTTTACTAACGAACTCCATGGATTTATTTCAAATCTTCTACTTCACTTCTAAAGATTTTTTTGCCTTTTTTTTTTTTTTTTTTTCTTATTAATTTTTTTATTCATATTCTTATGTATTACAAGTGAAACTAAAAGTGCTTGAGAGCCTAAAGTGAAAACAAAAAGTTTTCATGAAACTAAAAGTCGTGCTCGAGACCCTGAGGCAAAAGTTTTAATTTAGTTACATATTTTTCAATTACAAATTTAGTTACAAGTTTTTATTAAAAGTTGAAAAATAAGCAAAACAACGTTCTATAGGTATAGTGAAAATTGAAAATATTATTCAGTAGACTACACTATATATAAAATTGTGTGAATCAAAGGATTTTGTAGTTAGATTTTAAAGAGTGAAATATAAGCGTGTCATTTAACAAAGGGTGAAGATATCCATATAATTTCTTAGTAAACAGTTACTTGCAGAAATATACACGATAGTAAAAATTATCTTATCGTCAATATAACCGAAAAAAAATCTTTTCATCGTGACGTAAACATTCTAAAACACGCAGTATTTATAAAATTCACTATTTATAAAAAAATAAAAAGTACAAAAATAAAACAAAAGCGTAAAAAAGAGTACAAAAGGTAGATAACTTGAAAAGCTGTCGCATAGTCGTGCAAATATTACATAAATAGTTTGAATAACAAAATAAATGTAACGAAAAAACTTCTTTTACAAATTAAATTCTGCACGTGCAAAAAATCGTCCTAATAATCAATACTTTGCAATTAGATTTTACTTAACAAGATTGCTGTGGTCATGTGGTAGTAGTCGATTAGTAGTAGGTTTCTTGCTCCACCCAACCTAAATAAATACAGCGCACAATCTTTTAATAATATGAAATCAATTTTAAGATTTTTTTAATACTTGGCTAACCTGATTGAAAAATTCTAATAACTTAAAGAACAAACCTTTAGGATATCTTCTTAAAATATATCTTCTAATTTCGTCACTAATAATGATTAAAAATGTATAAGGAAGCCCAGTTAACCACCAAGAGAAATTCATGGGACGTAAACGTAGTCCCATATTTATACCAGGAGTATATTGAAGAAAAATTGCAAGAGCAGTTTCAAAAAATAAACCAAAATTTAAAAACCAATTTCTAAATAAAATTATTTAGTATAGACAAAAATGAGTACCACGTGCTATAATAGTAATTATAAAAATAAATTATACACATACCCCATTCCTTGATTAAAAAGTGAAAGTTTTCTAGTTTTACTGGCAATAAGTGTTCCCCATTGCACAACAACAATGGTAGTAAAGAAAGCTGTTTGACATGTTAGCTCCAATTCCTTACGTTGATGGTAGGTCCATTCATTTCCATAAGAATCTGGTAAGGTATTAACATTCATATCTTCCCATCTAGCTCTTATTCCAAACAAGTCTGATGGCATAAAACCATTTTCAGCCATGATTACAAAATATGTAAAAAAACCACCGCAAGCCTATAATATTTAAATATAATATAAATTAATAAAAACACCAGTTAAAATTCAAAATATAAGAGCCAAATAAATTTAATTTTATTAAAAAAAAACTTAATAAAGTAAAATGGGGTAGTTTCGCCATCAATAGGTGTACCTCTACTTTTATACAAGAATAAGATTTTTTTATGATTTAAGTTTCTATTAGACGAAAAACAAACTTTTTATACCAATACATGTCAAAAAAACACTTTTTTTTTAAATGAAAATTGACAAGAATAATATTCCTGTCAATTAATTTTTATAAAAAAAATTATCAAGTTCAAAGGAAACCTATCAATCATATATTCAAATCATAGAGTAAAGGTCGTGGATTAGAAAGAAAGTTAAGAAACCAAGAAAGAGGTCCGTTAAGTTTAAAACTTGATCCAAAAATGACTTTGTATTGATACTACTGATAGCTACTGAGCTATCAAAGTTTTGCATGTATTGGAAATAAAAACATTACAAATTTCTTATACCAATTACAACTAATCAATTTTCAATTAAACTTTTCAATTGGATTTTCTAGATAAGCGCAGCTTTATTGCATATCAATAAAGTTGCGCTTATATATAAACAAATATGTTATACGCAGAATTAAAAAATCAAATTAAATAGTCTTGAATATAGGATGGTGTGTAATACGAAAAATCATTTCTGATAATTAAAAGTCAAATTGTTTTGTTTTTCTTAAATTGTTTATATTAAATATATTATATTAGGCATATATTAAATGATGGTGTATAATGTGTATAATTAAAGAAAATTTTTAAATTTTATTTCAACAATGAGAAGTTGTCTTTGCTATATATAATTTTTTGTTATAAATATATATAGGGCAACAAACATTTTACATTCAGGATTTGTAGTACATTTCACATTCAGGATTTGTAGTATATTTCACATTCAGGATTTGTAGTATTTTTAAAAAACCAGAGGTTTTTTATTTATTAAAGCTAATGCCAGTGCATTAGCAGGAGGTTCAGCCAATTTGGCATCTTTTATTTTAACTTTATTTATTTTTAGATGGTGGTCCAACATTAAAAAAAACCTATTTTGTTTCATTGCAATTGGTTCTCATATATCTTCTTAAACAAAACATGCTAGCAGTACCTTAGTGTGTCTCAACTTCAACCACAAGTGTTTAGGCAATATCGCAATGATGTTTCAAAAAGACTGAAATCTTCTGCATAATTTTTGTTGGGATTAAAATCTTTGGATAAAACTGAACTTATTTAAGTATTTATGGATGGTCCAAATTTAAATTGGGCCTCATACTCTGAGTTACAAAACTACCATGCCAAAAATGACATTAGCAAAGTAATTTCGACTGGATCTTGTGGTCTATCATTCAAAACTGGGGAAGTCAACATATCTATCATTCAAAACTGGGGAAGTCATAGCAGACTGGGGTATTAAAAAGAAAGACAGCAAGACTTTATTTTGGAATAGATAAGAATAGAAATGGTCATATTGGTAAAGACCTGTATTTTACAGATATACATATATATATATATATATATATATATATATATATATATATATATATATATATATATATATATATATATATATATATATATATATATATATATATATGTATATATAGCATCCTAGTTAGCAACTTTCGGGTACATGTTATTTTTGTTCCTGTTCTGTTGTTTTTTTTTACTTTGTTTATACTAATTTTATCATATTTATATATTTTTTAAATTTTTATTTTATTTCTATTTTTATTTATTCATATTTAAATTTATTATTTTATTATAAAAATATATTTTTTATTTTAACTTTTGTTATTTTTATTTATTTATTTTATATTATATTTCATTTTTAACTTCATCTATTTACAAAAAAAATTAATTACAATAATATAACCAAATTTAAACCTTGCCATAACCCTAACCCTGACAGCCTGCCTTGATGGCTGGCCAAACCGAACCCTCAGTCGATGAAGCAGCACTCCCATGCGAGTGAGGCTATTTGTCAGTTGATGTATGTACTTTTCGTTTTCTATAAAAGTTTTTTACCGGTACATTTTTTTACAAAAAAAATTATGCTTACGGGACAAAAAATTAACGGGTACACTAAAATGTCCCTGATAATGCTTATGTCCCCGTAAGTGTTTGTTTTTTTGTAAAAACTGTCCCCGTAAGTGCTAAACTATACATATATATATATATATATATATATATATATATATATATATATATATATATATATATATATATATATATATATATATATATATATATATATACATATACATATATATATATATATATATATATATATATATATATATATATATATATATATATATATATATATATATAAAGATATAAATACGCATGTTTTTGATTAATTGAAAAAAAACTTACTTGAGCCATACCAATCATACCATAAGCAACGCTGATAAGCCGCTCATTAACAAGCTTATCATGTGTAGGATCCCTTGGTTTGCGCTTCATAATATCACTTTCAGCTTTTTCATAAGCCAATGAAATAGCTGGAATTAAATCAGTTCCAAGGTCAATGCAAAGTATAGTGACTGTTCCTAATGGTAAGGGAATACCAAACAAAATGTACATCAGGAAAGGTGTAATTTCAGGAATATTACTTGTTAGAGTATAGACAATAGATTTTTTTAGGTTGTCAAAAATAAGGCGACCTTCTTCAACACCAGTAACAATAGAAGCAAAATTATCATCTAACAAGATCATATCAGCAGCTTGTTTAGAAACATCTGATCCAGCAATTCCCATAGCGATGCCTTTAAAAAAGTTTACTTACTAAAATCAAAATAAAAAGAGAAGGAAAAAAAAGCCTTAAGATTTTTTTATACCTATGTCAGCTTTTTTTAAAGCAGGTGAATCATTAACACCATCACCAGTTACTGCAACAATGGAACCTACTCTCTGACATCCTTCAACAATAATTAATTTTTGCTGTGGTGATGTTCGTGCAAATACTATTTCAGTATGAGTTCTTAAAATTTCATCTAAGTCATTTTGTGATATATCTTTAAGTTTCGCTTTAAAAGAAATTTAAATATTGCCTACATTTAAAGCTTAAATCAATTTTACTTAAAATATAAAAAAATAAAATAAATAATTTTATAATAATAATTTGATTAACACTATTTAAAAAAATTGAAAAACATACATCCATGAATAACACAAGCTTTAGCATTCCCCGTTTTTACGTCTTCTACATTTATATTTAATCGCTGCGCTATGTCTTCTACACATTCAGTACCTTCTGAAATGATTCCAACACCTTTTGCGATTGCTTTTGCTGTAATTGGATGATCACCAGTGACCATTATGACTTTAATACCTTTTAAATTTACATATAGAAGTCAAACATAAAAAGTGTAATTTATACTTACATTAAGTTACATTAAGTTATATATATATATATATATATATATATATATATATATATATATATATATATATATATATATATATATATATATATATATATATATATTTATATTTATATTTATAACTTAAATTGCTTGTTTAGATGAGCACTCTGACATCACACTGACTTATGGGATACAAAGGATAAATTTAAAAAACATCCAACATTTAACATGGTCCATCATAAAAAGCATTCCCGCCTACAACAACATAACTAAAAAACTAATAATTTTATTGTATAAAAATCTTAAAGTATTAAACAAAATAAGCAAACTATTATCCAACTATTATTAAGTATTATCATGCGTACAAATTTTTGCCCAATAATCAGAAACCAAAAGATTAGATTTTTCTAACCATTTTTCTCTTACACAGAATTGTTTTTCTGAAAGAAAAAATCACATTTTTTTTCTGATGATTGCATTTAGCATGAAACTTTTAGTTGTAAAAAATATGTAATTTTATTTATAAATAATATAATAAAGTTAAGAAATTTCCTCAACAATATTTTTATAAGCATTTTATGATACTTCTATATCTGAATTTATATAATCAATTTAATTACTTTGTAAAAAAGAATAATGAACTGTAAATATTATTTTAACAACATTTT